GAATGACTAATGATGTTGAACATTTTCTCATATATTTATTTGCCATTTGTATCTCCTTGTCTGAGAAATGTGTATTCATCTCCTCTGCCCATTTTTGGATTGGGTCATTGAATTGGGAGGGGCTGAAATTTTTTAATTCTTTATATAGGAACGTGATTCTTACTTGTCGTCTGATTCATCTTAAATTGCTATCAAGTATATTTTATCATAGTCTGTATTAGTAGTTTTATCATTGTTCTTCTAATATACTTAGTACCTATGACTTAAAGGAGAGATTTTATTTGGCTCATGGTCCCAGAGGATTCACCTCAGGTCACCTGGCTCCACAACAGAAGCCTTGTGAGGGAGGGGCACATGATGATGACATGCTTACTTCACAATAGCTGGGACCACAGCACAGGGCACCAGCACCAGAGAGAAAGGAGCCAGGGCCCAGGCAGAGCCTGAGGTCATGCTGCCCTGACCCATTTAGACACACTGGAAGTGTTCCTTAAAATCCCCCTGCATGGATCCCACGTCAGTCAAGTTGACACAGTCAAGCAAAACCAACACACATCACCTACTGCACAACCGTATGGCATCAGGTAAGCCATTTACTTTCTTAACAATACAGAAATGGAATTGTTGTGAAGATTAAATGACATCAGTATTGCAGAGTGCCTTGATAATTCTAATTATAAGCATTATGAAAGTGCTATAGAAGGATTTTCTACTATTCTTTCTGGATTATTCAATTTTGAGGTTATATTTTCATCGACTGGATTCCACTAATGCATCTTATTTGTTGTTCAGCATAAAATCACCCTATCCCCCTTTGACAGCATGAAACTGTTTTCATTCTCACAAGATAAGAAACTGGCTGGTTTTGGGTCGAATCTGTGTAGTTCATGTTGGCTGTGCATAAGGAATAAATGAAGACCTTTAAGTGTACCAAGGGAATGTGTGTACTTTAACCTAATGAAATACTAAAGATGATTGTGGCTTCATGATTAATCCAAAATAGTTTTAAAACTCTATAAAACTGAACAGACAAATTATAGTCTAATTCTGAAGGCTATGACTATCCTGGCAGGAGTTTAGACTTCATTCCTGGGTAACAGGGAGAATCAAAGAATTTATGCAAGACATGATATTTGCAAAAGATAGCTCTGAAAGCAACGTGGGAATAGAAATAAATGGTGCAGAGAAAGAGAAGTATATGTGAGGCAAGAAGGCAGGCTAGGAGGAACACAGGAATTTGGGATTCGAATGTTATTTTCCACTAGTCTAGACAGCAGTCCTAGGGAAAGCAAAAATTGTACCACTTTATTGCTATGTGAACTTCAAGTTACTTATAACTAGGCTATGAAGATATCCATCATTTGTAAAAGACACATGACAACACTTTAATATATCCATCTCACAAGGTTTTCTATAAAGAGCAAATTAGGTCTATGTATGTATGTGTATGGAAGGATTTTAAAGATACAACAGTATGGTATGACTAAAAGGCAAAATGAGTATTATTTACTATTTAAAACTAACCTTCCAGTAAAATACATTCCCCAAAACAGTGTTCTGTAATGTGTTCAAAAGCAGTAGCAGTTCAACCGTCATGTATATTTCTACACTTAAAACTTAGATCCAGGACATTTCTGGCACAAGTTCAAGCTGAAGGCAAACGTTTTCCAGCAAACCTGCACACTGCCGCTCTGATGTAATAGTACACTTACATTGGAAAAAACAGATGATTGAAACAGACAGAGTAAAAGAAATGCACCCTGCAAAGATCTATCTAATTCAGCTACAATGATTGCAAAGTGGATTATAAATCTTCAGATTTTAGCTTTTGGCAAACCAACTATGCCATTATATCTAGGATTTCTTTTGCCTCTGGAAATCTTTAAACTATTCAGATATGGGTGGCTTTAAAACCATTTGAGGAATCATATTAAGTAAACATTCAACGGGCAACATCACTCATTCCACTCATTCCATTCTGACTTTGTTGATGATCAATTCATGCTTCTTACTGTGCTCCTGGAAGACATAAACATCCAGGTTGAATCTTCTTAAAGACATAACTTCCAGGTTGAATACCATCTGTTTCATAATTTCTTTCCTCCCCTGTCAATATCATTCTGTAACATTGCTCTAGGAAATACAAAAATAATAAAAACATTTCTTCATATAATTGTTTCTGGAAACTTAGTCAATTTTAGCAAGTGTTGACTAGAATATTTCATAAGATATTGATCCCTGGAGGCTAGTGTTCAGCACCTATGCTGATATTTAAATCACACATAAGGATCCAGAATGTTGACTGGTTAGAGAACACAACAAAGAATATTCTGCTGTCTTAGAGCAGCTCTTTTACTGGGTGCTACCTTCATAACCTAGGTGCTGGTGGATACCAGTAGAACTCTCTAAAGATTGTCCCAGACCAGCCCACACAAGGGTATCACACCCCACTGCCACTGACTTTGACATATAGTCAATGTCCAAGTGATATAAGTTTCAAAAAGCCAGTCATCTTGTCTCAAGGGGAAACAACTCACTAGGGGCAGTTGACACCACATATATATTTCCCTACCTACATAGTTCCCTACCTTGCATTTTACCAGTGACCACACTCAGGGATTCTCCCCCACTTCTGTCTTACTTGACTTTCTTCTTTACAGACTTTTGAAAGAGTACATCTTGCGTCAAATTCATATATTAAATTTTTGTTTCAGTCACTATTTTGAAGGGATACAATCCAAAACTCTACTCACAGAATACCTACAGGACTTCTCCATTAGACATAAGGATGAATAATACTAAGTACATGGGAATGCATCATTCACTGGCAGTCTTTGAATTATAAAAAGACTTTTTGTTGAAGTTCAATAATTATTTATAGAACACTACTTACATAAAATGCCCAGAATTTATAAGTACAATCTCCATAACTAATATCTATCATTATATTCTGCTTGTAGAAATATATTTCACCATTTTGCTGGAGGGTGAATGAGAAAAATATTATTTCTTTAGTGTACACAGGTATTTCAAGTAAAAATAAACACTAATTTATTGATCTTGACAGGTTCCTAAATACCTCAGCTTCAATACAGGTAATTTTAAAATGATTAGTTTTCTTCTTAGACTAATAGAGTTTCCAAAATAGTTGCCTATCAATTATTACAATAAGTATGTTAAATATATTCTTTGCTGTATTGTTATAAAGTTAAGTCTTTCTAGCATGACTCACCAAAAAAGGGCAAAAATCTGTGATGCCATCTAGAGACTATTGAGCTGTATTCTTGACACTTTTAATTCTTGTAGTAAGAAACTACATTTGCTAAAATGCTTGTAGAAGATTGTATTTGCTTGCTTCATGTTGTAAACTTCCTCTCTCATAGGAAGTTGATTTTATTCACTATCCTCCTGATTATTCTCCCATTAACTCTGACCTGTTGGTTTTCTTAATCAGTTGTTGGAAGTTGTGAAAATTTCCTTAAAATAAGAGAAAAATCCCAAGGCCCCCTCCTTGTCGAAAGGATAATAACAATTTACTTAACAGTAAATCAGCGCCTCTAAAGGTTAATGTTAAACTCAATGTAGAGTCTCAGAGTTCCCCTCGGAAGACTCTGACAGTGTATGAGTAGAAATGAAATCATTGACAGCAAATGTGACTGCAAACTCTGTTCTCTGCTGAAAAGTTGAAATAATTGAAATCAAAGGAAGGAAAAACCTCAGGACTGAGAATAATAACACATAGCATTTTTTGCTCCAACTTAAATATCTTCTTTCCTCCCTGTTAAAAATGCTATCCTTCTTAGGATGCAAAAATTAACATGGGCATTTGGCTGTGCATCTGGTAATGCATATATGCACATAGACAAATATGTATTCATTTATTTAAATCTAAATATTTCCACATGGCAAGTATCATTATTACTCTTCTATTTGATGATGATGATGATGATGATGATAACTGTGAGACAATTTCTATGTGAACTAGAGATTCTAGTTCAGGGTCTTTTTCATGATACTGTCTATCACAATAGAAACTTAAATTGCTAAAGATTTGTTATCTCAAAATAGTAGTATCTTCTCTTAACATAGCTCATGCCTGCTCATCTTAGTTGCAGAATTGGACAGAATGTGAGACAAAGCCTGAACATATTTCTAAAAATGGAACTTGTCACAAAAAACACAGATTCTAAATACTTTACACCATTCCAGAGGAACACACACTTATCCCACCGTGTGGCTTAGAACAAATCCAAAAAGTGTCACTCCTCCCTGCCGTGGCCATGGGCTGGTTTCACTGGCTGATGGCGATGTCTTCCCACTACGGACAGATGCAGCCTCAGATCCCCTCAACATTGTATTCTAGGCAGAATTACTAAGGTTTACTTTTACCACTTTGCCAACTAAATTAATAAAATGTTTCCACTCAGCAAATTCATGTTGCCTGAAACACCTCTTATATAGTAACCCACCTTTGGATACTATTGCTTTGATATTTAATCAATAAACAACTGCTGCACAGGAACTCTTTCAACAGGTTTTAAAATGATTCCTAACTATCCAAGTGGGATTTCTAAGTCAAATATTTGGTCTCAACCATGCCTGTCAATAACTGCTGAAACCCAGACACACAGTCACTCACCTTTCCCTTTCTACTTTCAGAGACGGAAGTAAATTTAATATAACATAACTTGTTTTTAAGGAATATATTTTAAAAAAAAAAAACTTTGAATGCTTTCTCTTGTCAGGACTGTCAAATTTCTACGGCTACCCAAAAGTATTTATAATTCAAAGGGAGCCATAATATAAAGGCATGTGAAAAGATATCTTCCAAATGTCTAGATGTAAGTAAGATCTCCCTGAGGCGCCCTTCAAATCTCCTACTTTCTTTGAGTTCCTGGGGACTGGATAAGGGGTAGATAACTATGTTGATGTTTCATCTGTTTTCTATCTTTATTCATGGATGGAAAGTACTCAGTTATCCTGCCAGTCCATATAAGCTAACATAAACTAACCCTCCTTTTGAAATGATCCATGGTGCCTCTTACATCAGGGAAGTTTCTTGGACAGCATTGTGCTCCTAGCACTACAAAAATTTTTCTCCCTTCCTTTTCCAATCCCTTCCTTTTCTTCTCTCTTCTTCCTTCTTAGAAGCAAAGAATAATACTTTCTGTTTGCTCTTTCAAAGGGACTATGTCTATTTGCTTTGGTTCCTGTCCTTGAGATAGCTATTATTTGCTACAAAGACACTTTTCTAACATAAAAGAGGGTAAAAACTCATACAGTTACTAAGAGAGGATACACAAATGACTAAACTACATGTTAGGAAAAGGCAAAGCAAGTCCACTGAAATAAGGCAGCTGACATCCTGCTCCAGCATGTTGGGAAGAAACTAGGAACTGATTTGGACCACGCCACACTGGAAAGGGCACAGGTCTAGGAGGGACAGCTGTTACTTAGCTATGAAAAGTGTTTGTATGGCACATTGATCTATGCTCTTCAGAGTGCATTGGATCTAAAGTTTATGTTATGGAAAAGCCCTACTTTTAAAATATTGCTTTAATTTAATTTATATCATTCAGATCAAAGTTAAAGTCTATAAGCCGCATAAAGGCTGTAGAGAGGGGAAAGAATCAGTGGGTTACCAGCGGTTTAAACTAGAAAAAAGGTCTTTCCTAGTTAATTCTGGGGCCAGCCAGGGGGTATTTTTGGTACCAGGAATCAAACTCAGGACCTTGCACTTGCCAGGCAGGCACTTGTGCCATTGGGCTACATCCCCAGCCCAGGGACCAGCTGTTAAGAAAATACAACTTTCACAAACAGCCGCCTTATCAACATTTGAAATGTCAGAGAAAGCAGTTCATGGGGATGCAGCTAGTGATCTGTGAATTTTAGAGCTAACACATGAAGAAGCCAACATGAAATGGCCACAGCATTCCTAACTTCACCTCACTGAATATACTTATTTTATATGAACATGGCTTTACATCTTCCTTTGAAGGCAGATGGGCTATTTTTATGGATGTCACAAAGACACATTAGCAAGGAGCTAAAGCTATGCCTCAAACTGACCACTTCTTCACTTTTCTCTTGTTATTTTTCTCAGTATTAAAAATCATTGCTTCACATCCATCATGTGATTTTTATCCCCATTGGGATTGCTAGTTCAAAGGGGAAGAGCTTCCATCTGCAATGTCGTGGTTCAGTAACCTAATATGGACTCCTCCTTTCACTACTGCACAGAAGTAAAACTTTAAAAGTATGCAGCAAGGCTAAAAGACACTGACATCTTTTGAAAGATAGTTTGGTCACTCTGTCCTGGGTCTTTCCACATTTCCCTTTCAGCACTCATGGTGTCTCTTCTTCTGTAAGACGTCAGATGTTTTATGAAGGAAAGGATTAGCATTCACTCCATGATAGTTCTCTGAACATCAATTTGATCTTCCTAGAAGAAAGCTCTTCATACCTTTAATAAAAGCCCACATTATGTAACTGGAATGAGTAGTCTGAAAAGCTCTGTGAAATCTATAAAAAGCTCCCATCACAGACCAATCTGAAGCCAATACTCAAACTCTAAATATTTTTCTATTTTTTTAAAATCGCACTGATGATGAGTTTGTACAACCAACATTACTTCTCTGATAGTGAAAATGGAACAAATTTCACCAACATATCTCAGTTGGTGGGGGATGAACACTGTATCCTACAATTCCTTTGAGACATCCTATTTTTATCCCTCCTTCCTTTCTAAAATATCTTTTGCATTTTTAAGCACCCTGATTATTTTTGTAGCTAATAATAATTGTAATCATCACCATGACAAAAGTCTTAGGGAGTAAATGAAAGATAAAATTAACTACTGGGCTTCTGGAAAGGCTGAACATTGTTTCTAGCTAAGGATTAAGGAAAGATTCGCAATTAATAACAGTGTTTAGCACATCTGTGAACATTTTCATGCCTACCTGCACAATGCCAAGACAAAAAGGGAAGGCAGAGGGAATTCCAGCAGGAAGGCTAAATTTCATTGAAGTCGCTTTTGTGTTTGTTCACATTTTCCCAGGTTTCCACAGAGAGCTCTGTGTAGGTGATAATACAAAAAATATTATAGGAAAAATATGTTATTTTTCTATTAGTTGAATAAAATGGAGATTAGTGAGAAGTACTACAGTCTGGATTTGAGGGCTCCCAGCCTGTTTGGAATCATATTTTCTGATCCCATCGGTCATTCCTCCATTGTCTATTAGATGTCTTACTTGAACTTGTGGGATCCCATCCACAGTTCAGATTCTTTTAATGTATGGTCTCTTGAGTTCAGATTCTTTTAATGTATGGTCCTGGCAAGAGAGTGAAGCCTTATTAGTACTGTGATACAGAAGAGACTCCTAGTAGTTTTGGAGGCTAATGTGCCAGAGCAAAGCCCACGGCTATTTAAACAGAAGTTATTAGTGACATAGCCTAATGGTCTGTCAGTGTTTGTCTGGCCCTCACTCCATCCATCTGTTCAGGATCTGCATCCAACTCCACACTGTCTATACTGAGCCTCTCCCAGACATAATTTAAAAAACTGGTCAGTATTTCAACAACCTGTGCTCTGGCCATATTGCTAGAAAGATACAATTAAGAATATTTTTTCTTCTGTACCCAAAGGCTAAACCCTTGTTCATGTGATTATGACCCTTCTTCTTACCACCATTTTCCCCAGATAGAGACAAATTCCTTGCAGCTTTTCTGCTGCATGCTCCCAAGTGACTCTTCTACCATGCTGCTGCCAGAAGAGCCTCCTGTCTGCCTGGCTGTCTCTGGTCTTCCTCAGGGACTACTGACCTGTCTGCACTGTTCACCAGAAAGTTCTCAGTGTTCCGATTCCCAAGTGAGTTCATCTCACTGTCAGCAAGTCTAGAGACTAAGGTTTAAGATGGAACTGACATTAAATTTTTAAGATAGAGCTACAAAGGTATTGGGAGTCATGACTCTCAGACAGGCTTTAATTTCCTGTTAGGCTGACTCAGCAACAGCCCAAAGAATTGAATCAGCCTTTAGGTCCTTACTGATTCTTTTAGATGTACACATCTTATTTGTGGTTTTACTATAAAACAAGACATTCCTTTAAGGAGGTGTGACTAGCATTTCGAGAAATGCTTACATCTATTTTGAATAAAAGATTTTGCTGTTAAAATCTTGAACTTGTGGTATCCCATCCATGGTTCAGATTCTTTTAATGCATAGTCCCTGGCAAGAGAATGAATCCTGTTTGTTACTGTGATACAAAAGAGACTCCTAGTAGTTTTGGAGATGACGAGTGAGTGTTGTGGTTTTTACAATATCTATAAATATCCGTACGAAATAAAAACAAATGCATGGATGCATTCCATGAATACAATTAATAAATCGCAAAGGTTTTGGACGCCACACTTCCTGAAAATGTCAGTATCCAGATAGGGAAGAAAATATCCTGTCTTGTCCTATACTGCCACCGGGTGGGCACTTTGAATCAGGACTGAGGATCACAATTCTCTGTTGCTTCTCACAAGGCTTCAAAATTCAGGTGACAGTTCATAATGGTGCGCTGAAGACGAGCCAGCTTTGTGCCTCATCACAGCATAATCAATAACACAACCACCTCTGACTTTCAAAAAAGTTCCTGCTTGAGAAAATAGTGGATAAATAAGAGGCTTAGCCGAAAGCACAACACCTTGAGCCATTGCCTACTTACCCATGTAATCTCCCTTGGTCATGATATTCTGGCCACACTGTATTTTATAATCCGTGAAGAGGCCAAGCCACTGCTCCTGTTATTCCAAGCAAGCTTTGAGCACTTTCTCTATGCCCGCAGATAAAAATAAAGCTGTTCCACCTCATTGTTCGGGTTTAGCTCAACGATGGGCCTCATTTCTCTCCTCTCCAAGGCTGCTGTTGCTACCTGCCTTGAATAGAGCAAAACTAATCTTATGAGGCTGTTTATCCCTTTGTCTAGCTTCACTTTAAGAACCCTGGGTTCTAGGGCACTGCTCCTCTCTGTCAACTAATCCTCACGAGGCAATAAACCCATTCATTAGGGATAGCCTCTTACAGTTTCAGAAACAGCTTGTTTAAAATGTCAACTCTATGGTCACCTGGCCTATTCAATGTTCATCTCTGACTCCAATGCAGTTCCTAAAAACCTCAACTGGGCCTTCTGATATACACAGTTCACAATCAGAAAAATTCTCTGTACTCATTCTCAAACTCTTCTCTTTGGGATCCCTTCATTTCTCTTGCTGAAATGGAAACGTAGTTCTTTCCTGGAGGCAATACTTCCCTCCATCTTTCATGTTGAGGGACGGTTGCCTCCCTGTACAGTGCAGAGGACCCAAAGGAAAAATAGATGTCTTCCTTAGTCCTCTATCCTGCTTTCAGAGACTTTTGCAGACACTTTAATACAGAAGCATTTGTTCACATGTTGTCAGATGTTAGCTCAACTGTTGCTGTCATCTAATACTCTTATAGTCAACACCTTGTCAGATTTCTCAAGCATTGAAACTCTTAGCTACCACTTTGGTGTGAGCCACCTTTGGGTCCTAGAAATACTGTAACTTTCTACTACTGGAAAAACTCAGTGAGAAATTTACATCCTACGTCGGAGAAATGTCTTATAAATTTTCTTTTTCTTGGGTTACTAATTTTATAAACATTTCTCCATATTTGTACCTTTGTTCACTAGAGACCAACATCAACAAAGTAACTGAAGTCACCTTTGTAAATATGTTAGATCACAATAATTCCCAATTCCATTTTTCTTTTTTTTTGTTTTTGTTTTTGTTTTTTTGGTTTTTTTTTGTTTTTTTCTGGTACCAGAAATCGAACTCACTACCTTGTGCTTGCCAGGCAGGCGCTGTGCCACTGAGCTAAATCCCCAGCCCCTCCCAATTCTCTTAGATGAAAGCCAGAGTCTTTAAGATGATTTAGAAAGCCCTTACCTTTTACCCTCATTCACTTGACTCTAACCAACATGAACAGACACTTGAAAGGCCTTCCATGACGCCAAATTACTTTCCTGAGTGATTCTTTTTTTTTTTTTTTTGGCTTTCTCTGGTACCGGGAACCGAACTCACAACCTTTCACTTGGCAGGCAAGCGCTTTGCCGCTGAGCTAAATCCCCAGCCCCTCCTGAGTGATTCTTTTCTCAGTCTGAACTTCATTTCCCAGCTATCTGCATGCACTGGGCATGAATTTGAAGAATCGATTCAAATCCACCGTTCCCATGCTGTCTCTGCCTATTAAAATTACAACCATGATTAGCATCTTCTACTTACTATTATCTTCCTTTTTCATCTTTATAATCATTTTTGCTATTTATTTCTTTACCTTGTTTAAATGAAAACCTGACAGAAGTGGAGATTGCCATCTAGTTTGCCACCAATGTATACCAAACACCTAGAACACAGTCTAGGCCAGTGCTGGTAACCTATGCACACGTGTCACAGGGGCCTCTTGGTATCACTGAAAGCTCTAGAAGGCAAACTGCCACTGGCAGCCCACACTCTGTGTGGAATAACTACTTTTGTATGCATTCATATAATGTCATGCTAATCTGTAGTTGTCCACGCTAATAGAAACATGTATATGATCATAATTCAAAGATTTGCTTTCACCTTTAAAATGTCAGCCAACCCCTCAAATAAAAATAAATTAAAGACATGGATATCAAATTCTGGTATCCTGAGCTGTACTTTACTTGGCTGGCAATGCACTTTTGCATTTGAACATATTTTAGTAATACAACACATATTTTTAATCTAACAGTCCCCCAGCAACCCATCCTATTTTACAAAGTACCTATTTGACATCACTTGGAAGAAATCTGCTCATGAATAGCAGAAAGAAAAGCACAGAGAAAAGGGAGGATCCAGGGACACCTCATCAGACCCCACATCCTGACAGCACATTCTGGGTCCCCATGATTCAATCGTATTTCAAAAACTCCACCTCTGAACACAAGATTTTGGAGACATTTTACATCTACAGCCTGACAATACTCCAAAGAAATACACTTTTTTTCATTCATGCTAAATAAAAATGTTAAGTAGAATCATTTTCTATTATTTTATTTGAAAGTGAATTGTCACTTTCTTTTGTCAAATAACATGCCTATGGAAGACAGAAATCTAGATTTCACAGAAAGCTATATAAGAACACACAGACATTACTTGTCTAACAATAGAGTTCTGTTCCTGCGACTAGGTCACTGAACAAGGTGATAGCTACATAAGAAGTTGTATATACAGTGTACATTACGATTCTGAGAACAATCACAACTCCAACTTGATGATTTTCCTTTTATTTATACAACTCTTACATGCACACTGTAATGTATAACATCATTTAACTACAGCACTGTACTGTACAGTGCAATCAGGAAAAATTAGAGTACCATTTTGTAGAAGAAACCACCATGAGACCACACTGCTACTCATGTTCCCGCCAAAAATCTCAACACATTCCCTTCAAGATGATCATCAATGTGTGTGAAATTCTTTCACTGTTTTCATCATATCTTACTGTGAAATGGTTCTGTGGTTAGTTGGTTTTTCTTGTTTGTTTGTTTGTTTTGTCTTTTTGAGACAGGGTCTTACTATACAGTTCAGGCTGGCCTTGAGCTCACTTTGTAGCCCAGGCTAGTCTCACACTTGCAACAGTCCTCCTGCCTCAGTCTCCTGAGTGCTGGGATTGCAAGCATGTGCCACCACGCCCGGCTTCTATGGTTACTTAAAATAGGTGTTAATTATGAAACAACTAAGCTCATATCTTTATATCATTTAGGTCTATCCATCAATATTGTGACTTACATTTAAAGTGAGTCATCACCTGTTAGGAATTCATTTTAAACATTGTATTCAGCCTATAAATTGTCAATTTTAATGTCGTCAAACCTTAATTTTTCATTTAGTAATTGCTTTCATTGCTTTTATGCATAAAGAAGTTTTCAACAATTTTAGATCAGAGATAGTATCCTATAGTTGTCAAAGCTTTATGAGATTGTTTTTCTCTCCCACATGGAATATACAAAGGAAAAAAAGGTTTCATATTCACTCCAAGCCTTTCCTTCTCACACTTTTTTACTGAAATAATCAAACTTATTTATCAGATATTTCTTACTTTTCTAAATTTTATAAGACCACAAGTCAAGACATGGGAATATCATTTTTTGCAAAGATAGCACACAAAAGACTACAAGTTTTCATTTTTACCTGATTCATGTAAGTCAATAAGAATATTATGAATAACAGAGAGAAAAAATGAGAAAATGCTGTGAACAGGTCCTAGCAGGACAGATATCATCAGAAATA